CTATTGGCTTGATTTATTGATATGGTATCCACAAAATAAGTAGGATCCGATTTTGTCCGTTTTTGTTGAAATAAAACTGAATTATATTTGCTGTTTACATATCAAAGTTTGCCAAATTGTTACAAAATGTTTGCCCACAGCAAGGCTACGTATCCCCAACATATTGTACTAGGCACAGTATCACTGGACTGAGGGAGGGCGGTATTCCTCCTTGTGGGTCACCTGCTTGGCAATATGGGACGGGAAATCTGCAGGGGGTGAGGGCAGTTAAGTTGATGGTACAGACAGATAAGAGAGATCATTTTACAAATGTGAAACCTCAGTCCACAAAGGAAGAGGCGAAAGCTGAAAGTTCGTGAGGTTTACAGAACAAAGGCAGTTATTTCTAGTTTCTTACTGACTCTCGAAGATACATTTAATAAAACAATTAATGCGTGTGTGTGTGTGTGTGTGTGTGTGTGTGTGTGTGTGTGTGTGTGTGTGTGTGTGTGTGTGTGTGTGTGTGTGAATTGTACACCATAAAAATGGCTACGTATGTAGTTGGGGTAGATATGTTAAAAGCCCGGCCAGTATGACCTTTGAGTCACTACAGTTTCAGTCATTAAAATGCGTAAAACAGTATTTGAGTGAAAGAAAACACTATAAGTGAGTGAAACAAAAGATTCACATTCTTCTTTCCCCACCATTATGTCCACGTCAGCCAGCATGGATCCATGCGCATGCTTTCATACATAATCCATCCTCCCACCATTCCCCAACATCCATCGAACTATAACTATATCCGCCCTCATGTATCGGTATTCGTGCTTTCATACATACATACACCCCCCTACCATTCCCCTACATCCATCGCAGTATAACTATGACTATAACCGCCTTCGTGCATCCGCACTTATGTTCACGTTGCATTGCATATGCATCGAATTACACGTTTAAAATATCGTAAATATTTTACATCATGTACATATTATATATCAGCAAACATAGAGTATTATAACGCAATAGATTTCATCCGTCAAAACATCACAGAAAGAGGGGCAGCCTGGAATTTTACAATGGCATCTGAATGCACTAAGACGTTCAACTGGTCAGGAGGTGAGAGTTGCGGAAGATTACGGTAAACTTCAGTTACAGATCTCCATTACGAATATCGAAGTATGAATAAAGATCACAGCTTGCTATGTCGTGTACTTCATTCCTGCAGAATTAGCAATGTCCTTAGCTCTAAATTGTATGTCTAAATGCTTATGTAGACAAGGACCCAAATGTATATAGGCATGACCATATTATATTCTACGCAAATATCACCACATTTAAAAAGAAAGCTAGATTGAGTCTTTGAAGGGCATTAAGAACTGATACACACAAGGAAAAATATTTATGGATGTCAACGGAGGAACACTGCGTTTCGGAATATATACTTTCTCCTTCATCAGGTGAATATTATTAAATGCTAAGAGGCAGAGAACATATATTTGTACCTGTAAGAACAACAAAAGTAAAAAGATAGCAAAGAAGGGAACGCAACAAGGGAAGCCTACAGATAACTGGCGCTGATTTACCCGCCTCCCGTTTGCCCATTGTCCATTTCCCATTACCAATCATTCATAAGTTAAGTTTTGGCTTTAATTTGTCCATTGATAATCAACCATCAACGTCTATTATCTCCACCCTAAAAATATGTAGTGTACTGAGAAAGTGGTATCCAAATATAATGTGTGTTACTGTTGACAACTTTCTTAAAGGCATTGTTGGTTCAAAGCTTTCGGCCATAGAAGCCGTGCCATTTTTCTCTTGTCAGAGGAGAACACAAAGTATACGTCATCTGGACTAACATTTTTGGTTCGGTGGCTGGGTTAGATCGCCAACTTTGTGTTCTGGCGATTGGGTGCCTCACTCACAGTGTGGGTTCAAATCCCGGACGGGACTCAACCCAAGAAAGTACGAGAATCTGTACTTTACTCCGAAAGTGTTATCCCATTTATAACATTTGTTGTCAAGAAAGCACAATAAATGTATATTCGGCTTTGGATAGGTAATGATATCACAGACATATACGGATATTGATGATGACTTGGAGGAGCTTCGTAGCGCACGTCTTCTCAATTCAGGGATTGGTAAATCCAAATATGTGTGTGCGCGTGCGTGCGTGCGTGCGTAAATGTGGGCCTGTTGGATGTTACATAAAACATTCGTCTTGAGCGTGATGGTAGTTCGAGTTGGATAAGCATGTTAACTATATGATCTTCTTTAGGCAGAGAATGCCGCGCATGAATGTATTGATTCCTAGGTACATGGGGCCTTTTCGTCCCCAGGAATACCCACAGTGGAGACTTCAATGGGTATAGGGTGTACACAATATGCTGCCTGGTAGATTGTGTGTCATCAGACCGGACAACGTTGGTCTTTGACTGATTGTGGCGTAAAACACACTTATTCATTTACTTATATCGGAAATTGAATGTTCATCTTAATTGTTATTGTTGAACATGTAATATATTTTTAAAGAATAAAACAGTGACATAATAACTACAACTTTATGTGAGTGCGAGTAGCTTTTTTGGAATGAGATGAATAAGTCTTATAAAGTTGTAAGCTTCTTCACAACCGTGTAACTATGAATTGACTTTATTGGGTAATCAAAAAAGAGAAAGGACCTAAAATAGCCAAATTTCATACGATTTCACTTGTCCACCATCTTGGATGCAAGGCGAAAACATTTCAGCGCGTTTGAAGCCACTGAGAATGCCCCCTGCAGAGTTGGACGAACATTCTGCGGTGGCGCGGCTGAGTTGACTAGAGGCTATCAGCAGTATTTACTGTCCAGGTTATTTAGGTCCGTTGTTTGTGTGTGTGTGTGCGTGTGTGTGTGTACGTGTTTGCGTGCGTGCGTGCGTGCGTGTGTGGGGTGGGGGCGTGGGGGTGAGATGGGGGGGGTAGATGATAGATTTAGCAACAAGTAAGGTCATCTTGAGTGGGAGGGTATTCGCAGATGGATTAGCATATGAACTATGGTTCTCATTAGGCAGAAAATGAGGATCCACGATGTTCGACCTGGTAGAAGTGTGTTATCAAACCTCACAGCATTGTTTTTTTGACTGACTGTAGCGTCAAAACAAACTCAATCATTTACTTGAACTGAATGTTCATCTTAATTGTTATGGATAGTCACGGAGCCATGATCCAGAAAACAGGGTGTCATTAGATAGAAATAAACTAAGTAATAATAGGATTACCAGAAAAACGGGGTTTTACACACAAGCCAATAAACTTCGCTCATTAACACCAGATTAAGTCAGTACAAGATTGAAAACTGCCCCATAATTATGTATGACATGCTTTTCGGGTATTGCTACATTCATATGTGAAAACACAGTTATTAAAATGAAGAGCAAAACTGATGAAAGTTACCAATAAACGTGTATAAGTGTTATATCGTCACTGCAAAAATAATGATTGTTTGTCTTTAGTACTAACATTCAAATACGTTATATCTGTATTAGCGATATTGTCTTCGTTCCCCCGTGATTCAATCGTTAGCCGTACTATCTCGTAGTATAATAAATTGAATTTCTGAAGACATCACGATACAGTTTTTACGATGCATCACGTCTGCACTAGCGCTTGATAACAGCCTTGTGTTTGGGTGTTTCTGTGGTTTAAATTGCTGCTCTTGATATTGTTGATTAAACTTTGATACTATAAACAATATAATGTTATGTGAGAGGTTGACTTTAGAACGGTAACATACTAATAGTATATAGGATGACATAAACAGAACAATGAGAAGTTCGTCCAGATTAGTGTATAGGCAACATTTAATAATTAAAATAATTACATTCAACAACTCCCCTTTTAAGTCCATTTTCCTGACTTATAAGTAAATGCAAGAACAATCGGCCGGAATACATTGTATAGTTCTTGTCCACTTCTATATGACTATACAGCATACAATAAGCTATCGGGTCCCGTTCGGTTTGGGTGGCAGCCTAGATAGCCATAGAATAGTTTCATCTTGGAATCTCCCATATCACTGGGGATCCTCTTCAATTTAAATGGAGTTAACTTGTTACGATTCCGAACCTTCACGTGACTGTGTTTATGAATCATTGTCAAATAGTGGTGACATTAAATCTAGGAAACAATACGCGAAATCGCGCATGCACAGAACGGAAATTTGGTCAAGGCATTAAGTAATCAGCATGCGCAGAACGATTGATTTAAGTACTTCCGCTTAGCGCTTCGAGTGCAGCGTCAAACGCGGGCCTGTAATCTAACACGCGAGGACTGACCAATGAAATCTGAGAAGTAGAAATGCCGGTAGACGCTGTTGCTTGATTGACAATGTCAATCAAGAAAGGGAGGAGCTTAACGGTATCGTTCTCTCCCAGTAAATTCCGATGTCAAATAACGACGTTATTTGGACGGAAAAACGATGGTTTGAAAACGTCCAAATAACGTCGTTTTTCCGTCCAATGACCATATACGGAAAAAAACGACGTTTTCGTGTTTGCAGTGCCCAAGTGACGAAAATGGATAGAGCTGCATAAATGGATTTTACCATGTCTGTAGAAGATCAATGCATACGAGCTTGTTTGGTTTTATATAGAGTTAATCTCGAATATGTCTCTGTACTTTTGTTTTGAATGAAAAAGAGCGGGGTAGAGTGGGCGAAATGTCGGCAGTAAATAATATATGAATAAATGATATAGAATGCAAATAAGCTTTGATGCGTGGAACGAGCTTGTTTGGTTTTGTAACGAGTTAATCCCGAAAATGTCTGGATACTTATATTGATGAAGGAAAAATTCTTAAATATGGTCACGGTTAACAAATGTGTGTGTGACGTAAGCATTAAGTTGTCCACCATCTGCCCTTACCCCGCATGATATATACCCACATGTTCATATACCCATTTGTATTCATCATGTATATATGTCATAACCTGTTTCTCAACAAGGAAGTTTAAAAGCACTGGTATCATTCACGTGATACATTATTCACACTCTGCGCTGTCATTTCTCCGCGTAACTGCGCCGTGAAATCATGGCTGAATATCACGCTGTTTGTGGTATAATTATGTTTCTGGTAACACAAGCGTCCGCAGAAGGTAGGTTTGAAATATCAATACTTACAAAATACTAAATCCAGGGATACTGGAAAATACCTTTACGGAAATGTTTTGATTTACGATTGATTCTTTAACTTTGGCGCCATTACACCACAGCATCATTGCTAGATATGATGAGAGCTGGTTATTGCCACAGACCTAAGATACATACCAGTAGCATTCAACATTTACCATGGCCACATATCCATGCTGCGTGTTTTATTGTAGACTTTTCAAATTAAAAAGTGTCGTGTTTAGCGTCTTATCAAATATATGAACATGTCTCCACAGGTGACCGTTATGTTTTCATGGGACATGTTAGGGATATTCTGGTATGTTAGGAATAAAATCATAAAGTTCCATGAAATGAATGTAAATTACAGTTAAGACACAGGATTATGAGATCCAGGGTAAGGTTCCCATGCAGTGCAACAATTATTGGTCAGTTGAAAATGACGGCATGTACACCTCAATTAGTAAGTGTATTTTGGAGGCGTAGCGCGTCATATGTCGTTCCAATGATACGACAGACGGTACGATATTCCCCGAAAGAGCAATGAAATATTCAGAAGAGATGACGATAACTCCGTATTGTCATTTCACGAATGTGAACATGAAATATCTAAACAAAAAACTTGAACGGGAGATCTGCATGTTCATGTTTGTGAGGTACTCGTATCGTCATGCCTATACGGTTTTGTTACGAAGCAAACACAGTTTCGTTTGTCTTCGCTCATATTACAATTTCTAAATTTATCATGGTAATGTACTGCGTCGATACTACATGAAGAAGTAGTGTCATTGTGATCCGACCTTGTCCTTTATGCTTGTACGGTCGTTTTGACCGAGTGTATCATATGACTCGACAATATCATGACCATAAAGATATATCAATTGTCGATACAAACTGAACAAATATGGAAAATAGAATAGTGTGGACTTTATAAATAAAAACGTGTCGTGTTTTAACAAATGCTTAGCTTCTTATCAAACAGGTGACCGTTATGTTTTCACGGGGCATGTTTGGGGTATTCTGGTATGTTAGGAACATAATCATAAAGTCCCATGAAGTGAATGTAAATTACAATTAAGACAGGGTTTTTTTAAATCCAGGGTAAGGTTACTATGCAGTGCAACAATTAGTAGTCAGTTGAAAATGACGGCATGTACATCTGGTACAGTAGTAGGTGCATTTTGGAGGCGTAGAAGAGTAACGGTAACTCCATATGGTGATTTCACGAATTTAAACATGAACTAAACAATAAACTTTGTTTGTAAATTTCATTTGACAGGAAGCCTTCCACATCTTTCAATTAATTAAACACACCACATGTGGTTGTTTTAAAGTGTATCGTAGACGTGTAACCATTGTTTTTCACATACATTTTGTATTCTAACCATCTACAGAACCAAGGTTTTCGGCATTTTTGGCCAATAAGTTGAAGGTGCTATGAAGATTTGCGGCCTTATCCGTTGGCTTTACAGTATTGCATACTACTATTATTATTAATAGTATAGAACTTTTTACAGTATCGTAACCACATATGTATATAACGTTTATCTGTAAGAATCCATCATTATTTCTATATGTTACTGCACTTAGAATTTTAACAAATGGATACAAAAATGACAAGACACAAGACAGATGGAGTTGCGCAGTAAACACAAATACACACCAGCACACATTCTTAACGTCGCTTTGAACAATATTTCATTTTTAGCACAGCGTGTCAGCTTGGTATGGGAGGGAGCCCGAAGTGAGGCAAATATTAGACCTTTACATAATTACCACTTTGGTATAACCCACGAGAACGGGCATTGCGCTGACAATCCTAGAAACATAAGGGAGAACGATCATAGATTTCACGTGTGTAGGTGTTTGTTCTAGTGCATATTTATGCCGATTTTATAGTGCAAGGCCACTGCGATGCCAGTCCAACTCCAAGCAGAGCATTCCTTGTTTCATCTCCTTAATGCCGAGCGCCAGGCAGGGTAACCACATGCACCGTATCGTTTAACAACGTCTTTTGTTTAGCACGGCCAGTGGATCGCACCACCGACCTTTTGCTATAATCGGCAGACGCGCTATTCACTAGACACGGCGATACAATGATAATATGATTAGAAAAGAACTTGAACGGGAGATCTGCGTGTTCATGTTTATGAGTGTAGTGCGTCGATACAACATTGGGAAGTAATGTCAATGTCACCCGACCATGTCCTTTATGCATGTTCGGTCCTTGTCACCAACTGCATTATATGAATGCGAAAATCCACATCTAGTACCTTCGAGACCCTTTTCCTCTCTGATAGCGTGCTTTATGTAGCGTTGCAAATTGTCAACTGAAAATAATTTTGCACTGTCGTTGCTTTCATGGTTTAAATAAACGAAGCTACGCCGAGAATTGTTTATTGCTTAACGCCGCACTCAGCAATTGCGCACTTTATGACGGCGGTCTGTAAAAAGTCGAGTCTGGACCGGTCAATCCAGTGATTGACATCATGAACAGTAAGTCTCACGATCCGATCCCGTTAGTCGTCTCTTTGACAAGAATGGGAACTTCACGACCTCTCACATCAAGCAAAGGGGTGCTGGGGACACATTCTACAACACGGGCTTACACCGAGTCGAACAAGGAGGCATATCGTAATAATGAAACAGTATGTCTGTTTACTTCTTATCTGACAGTGTAGATAACTGCCCCGTTAACTCAGTGTCATATTATGACACAATGATATTCATAAAAATGCATGTTATGTCATGGTCTGTCCACATACTCCAATACAGGAGACGCAAAATTGCTAACCATACGTTGGAAAGAATGCTTTTAAGGCCAATGAATAAACGATAGGTGATGTCATGGAACACACCAAGATTAAGACAGATCTCAGATAGCAATTATTATGATAGATATACATGTAAAGGTTTAATAAACATGAACTGATTTGAATAACTAGAGATGCACATTCTTTTTCAAACGACACTTTATTAGTGCAAAATTAATCAAATGAAAATGAAAAATTAAAATCCATTTCGTAATTCCTTCACCTTGCTTTTCAGTTATGTTTCGCTTGTGTTGCCACGTTGTAAATGCTGGTTATATAAACCTGATAAAATAAGTAAAGTAATTCAATCACATTGTTGTCAGTTCGTAGAACAGGTGTAAAACACATTCACAGTCAAACACTGCAGCTCTTTTTATCTTGGACCTACAGTCGGACACCCACTCTCGGATCATTCTCCATGGGGCTCAAAACCACCCCCTACATTCTTACAGTATTCTACTTCTGTTCATTTTTGGTATACAATTCTAAAGCTTTCATGTTAATGTGACCTCCTTAGCTTGGTAATGTAGTAGGCGATTGTTCAATTGTCGAAATGCAGTATTATTTATGTAGAGTAGGTAGGTATGCATGAACCCTACGTACGAACCTACCTACCTACCTACCTACCTACCTACCTACCTACCTACCTACCTACCTACCTACCTACCTACCTACACTTACAAAAGATGAGGGTACTTATATTAGCATTTGAATGTAGCTGTCGTTGAGGTGTACATTTACAACACAGTAACGTTGCATCTGAACGCATCTAATCACAATGACATTCCACATAATCCACGATGCACACAGAAGCCATTAATTGCACTACGCAAATCTACTCCCGGTATAAATAGCTAATTCCGTACAATAACAGTCAGGCCCATTTCAATATCTGGCGTTAGAAACCGGTTCGATGCAGCTTGCCTGAAGGCAGGTCGCCCTGTGTAGGGTGGGCTAGGCAACACCAGGGTCGCTACACCACGTTTAAAGCATCAAGGTTTTGCCTCAAATTCACAGATGGTAGAAGACGCTATTGACGACGTAGCGACGAGCGGTATGCCATGACATCAATGCTTGAGCGTGATCGGTGTGTGATTCGGTAGTGTCATGGTTTGGGACGGTATCACACAGAACAGGCGAACTGATTTGGTTATTGTTAATGGAAATTTAACTGGCCAACGATATGCTGGCGATATTTTACATCCTATCGTTGTTCCATTGGCTGGTATGAGCCATTTTGAACTGCAAGGTGACAATGCCAGACCACATCGCGCCCAGGTTGTCACTGAGTATCTTCGGCGAGAAGGCAAACGGACATTGGACTGACCCGCTAAGTACCCCCACACGTTCCCAATAGAGGATCTGTGGATGTTCTCAGGCGGAGCGTTTATGCCCGAGACCCAGCACCGCCACCGTGGCCCAACTTGAGGTAGCTCATAAGGCGGAATGGCGGGCAATACTAAGGCAGCCATACGCAAATTAATCAACAGTATACCATCCCATGGCCATCAAGGTGTCGTGCGTGTAGATATTGATCTACACGCCCGAATAATGATAGTTATATTATATTTTACCTAAATAGAAATATTTAACAGTAATATTTATTGCGCGTTACAATTCGCGAATGATGTTCTTCTCCAATTAGTGTCAGATCACTCAAATAGTTAAAACTCGCTTTGATTCAACTTTAGTGTTTATATCAGGGTTATGTCAAACTTCGACGCATGGTTATGTAAAACTTTGTCGAATGGAAATAACAAATACCATATATGTATGCCATACATACTATATCTCTTCCTCGACGCTTCATCTAAATGTATAATTATTATTCTCAATTTATATCTTTACTAAATGTAGAAACCTATTTAATTTGTAATCTTCTCTCTTATCGACGCATTATATTAACCATGTTTCGGTGTTATAACTTCAGATTTGTTGTTGAATGCGGCCACCATACAAATACCCCACATAACAAACGCTTTTTTTAATGCTGCCATACCAGATGCTCTAATTATGATGATGATGAATGACATGTGTTGGTTATATGTGACAGCTATTCCCAACCGGGAAGAGAATGTTTCGCTAACCATCTCATGATCATATCAACAGTTCCTTATGAAGTAATCAATATGTCTTGCTGTATCTCTTGACGGGTTTTCGATATGGATATTTATCGATAACAAAATGATATGAAGTATAAAATTTGAGGTCCGAAAACGACACCTACACCCAACCTTTCAGAAAAACAGACACACAGATCACATGTTCGATAAGGGTTTATACGATTTCATAAAACTAAACGACAAAACATTGCTTTAATCATAGTCCGCGGCTCCACCTGTCAGGTAATCGCGATCGACCACAGCGTTCGACAACTGTCACATCGCTGATGTTTGTGTCCAGACAATCTAGAGTCAGGCACATATTTGCCTCCTCATGATGGCGTGTACTGATGTATTGGCATCACACAACCAATAGTTCAACAAGATTGTACAAATAGAAAACTGAGTAAGCTGTGTCGCCCTGTTGCATGGCCAGACCTTCAGTAGATGCTATCGTTAAAGAAAGCCCAAAAGACAATTCACTTTCGATGATTTACCCACCTGAACTAGAAATGGAAGAGATATTTGAAAACCGCCTCATCCGTTTCATAATGCGATCTAGGCATACAGATCCAGAGGGACAAAAACATATCCACTGTTTGACAACTTCAAACTTGCAAGAGTCACCCTTCCTTTCATGTCGAACTATATGGCAATATAAAAAGAGGCGACTAACGGGATCTGTCGGTGAAGCTTCGTTGACATCGCTATCGTATCCCAATTGCATGGATCGATGCTTATGATGTCAATCACTGAACTGTCTGGTTCAGACTCGATGATTTAAAGGCGCCGTCATATAGCTGGAATAATGCTGAGTGCGGCTTTAAACTCGTCAAAGATTTCTGATGTTTCTCTTACTTTTCTAGTAGTATGCCTCTATATTTTTTCTATATTTCCTCGCGGGGCGGTCGGGTGGCCTAGTGGTTAAAGGGTTCGCTCGTCACGCCGAAGACCCGGGTTCGATTCCCGACATGGGTACAATGTGTGAAGCTCATTTCTGGTGTCCACCGCCGTGATATTGCTGGAATATTGCCAAAAGCGGCGTATACCCATACTGACTCACTCAATTATTTGCTCGCTGTTGAATCGGTGTGTTAGATAGTAGGTACTCTGTCGGGGCTAATGTTTGTCACCTGTCTACATGTTCGTTGTACCTATAAACTACTTTCTCGTTGTGTGTGTCTCTCTTGGTATAATCAGCCTCGGTGTAGATATTTCACGCTTCACTTAAATAATTAAAAGACATTATTTATATTACTTACCCAACAAGGAAGTAGTTGACGGTGGGACTGTTGGACCACACAGTGGCTTCGCAAATGTTATTGATTCAATGAAACTCAACATATATGACAGCAACTACTCGCCTTTGTGTCCAGTGAAGAGAAGTCAGCAAACGTGAGGCGAATAATTTAAAAGCAGCATAATTTGGAACCTACACCCTTTCATACACGTGGGTTAACCGCTTCCAGCTGAATAGATCATATCACAGGGGCAGTCTATATATATTCGTCATTTAAAGACTGAGTGAAATTGCGAGTTAATCAAAGTTAGTGTAAATAAAAGAACGACAATATGAAGCAGTGTCTTTAATCGTGGTTGATCTTCTAGGGTAGGTCCGGGGGTAAATGTGATCCAGACAATGGCTTCGAAAATATTTTTTGTAGTTATTCATACATGCTGGCACTTTGTGTAAATGTTTCGGATTCATGTAATTTCCATTGCCAATATTCTATAAACACGTGCACCTGGGGGCACGGGTGGCCCAGTCGTCTAAGGCGCCGCGATTGGTTTGTGCAGAGTTGTGACACTCCGCGATATAACAGGAATACTGTCAAAAGCGGCGTTAAACCCAGCTCACTCACTCATCAGAACCTATATCAATACAATTCCTGATTCACTCTTGGGACTTTGCTTCATGTTTATCAGGTTCTTGCAATGTTAAAGTAGTTGAGTTCTTTTTAACAGGCGTGCCAGTGTTTGTTTGGTATTGCATGAATAATTAAAGGATTTGTTTTCAAGATAATCCTTCTCTTTTGGTCTATGATATCAGTACTTCCACTAAAGACTTTGCTTCATAAACGGTAAACGTGATCTTCAAATTAATACATTGTGTACCAACATTTCTTGATACTGCTTACTCCCTGTGCTTTGTTAGTCCAAGTTTGTCTGCCTCCTAGAAATGAAACCATATCATCTACAGGTTATAATTACGATTTACACTTGTAGATTGGATTACTATTATGTGACTTAATTCGTATATTTCGTAATATTTCCTTGTTATTTCCTAACGTTGTTTGGGTGCCACTTCTGTTCCATCTGAACCTCAGTTGGCCTACAGCTTGAACGGTTTAAGTTTTCCTTTTTTTGGTGTGTGCCATCGAGTGGGGACTGCGTCATCAGAAAGTGATCAGTAGATGATAAAAAGACGTCAGCCTCCTTTTACACCAAGCTAGCTTTTCAAATTAATCTCTATCTCAATCCGTTTGTCTCGCCTAAAGAATACTTTGTGTACATGCTTTGAATTCTAAAGCTGAAATGATGTTATATTATTTTTTGACATCATGGCAACGAGACACCTCGAATGCAAATTAAAAGAATGTTCTGTTTCTCTTGACAGTTGATCCTGAACTGACAATACTTGTTGGTAGCTGGAATCCAGGTCAAATAGTTCAGATCAAGTTATCTTCATCAACTGCCACACGTGTAGCTGTAAGCAACCGCCCCGTCGCCATTGACTACGATCCTGTAGAGAACACAATGTACTGGACGGATGTCCAACTCAAGCAGATCAGGGCGACTGATCTCACCAAAGGCACTACCCAGCTCATCCTAGCTTTGAATGACAGTAAGTTCTGTCCATTAATATTTGTCAGTCACCTAGAGGAGACTTATTCATGTACTCTACACCGCTATTTTACCTACTGCGCCTATTGGAATCGGTTTGCGGCGGATAATTCGAGAGGGTTAATCCCTGGCGTTAACGTTTTATATTTACTTGAAAGGAGTCAATGCTTCTTCTGTTGATCTGGTCCCCTACTTTCTACAGCCCAGTAGCGTTTATTAATTATGGCGAGACATTAAAACTGACCCCCACAACATACCCCCTCCCATCCTCATTGCCACTGTGTTGCAAGGCGAATATGTTTCTATGTTCAGAAGCAGCAGAATGTGAGCGCTTGTTCAGACCGGACGTAATTTAATTTTCGTTTTTAGTTTCAACAACATTTGTAAATGCTCCACCGTGTAACTGGGTTTACTGGTCTATCGATAACTGTGAATGTCTTGTTTGTTTATGGCAACCGTCACATGGCAGGAGTATTGCTGTACCTATTAAGTAATTTGTTGGGGAAGATTTCAGAATCTCTTGTTAGCATAGAACAATGCCCCTGATAATTATATAATATTATATATACATGTATATATTTATAACAGGCGCAGTTCCTGACGGTATTTCTGTCGATTCATCTTCGAGAAAAATATTTTACACGGACACTGGAAATGACATAATTGCTGTCATGGACATGAATGGAAGCAACCATGACATCATCGTTACACAGGAACTCGACGAACCCAGGGACATCGTTCTTCATGAGGCAAACAGGTTGGTAAGATTATCCTTTCCTTGCAAGGCGTCTAGAAAAGAGGACACAGTTCAGGTAATAATGACGATTTAATACATATTTTCAGGACGATGTACTGGACAGACTGGGCAACAGCTTCATACATAGCCAGAGCAGATTATGACGGAAGAAACATCAGAAAGATAGTCACCACCGGTCTGGGGTGGCCAAATGGGCTTACACTTGACAGGAACAGTTAGTGTTAATTTACTTTATAAATGAACATAGTACGTGTATCTATATCTTCAAGTAGTATATGTATCAGGTATGTTCCTAATTTTGTAGACCGCCTCCTCGATGTAATGTATAGAGCGTCCGCCCGGAGAGCGGAATGTAGTGTGTTCGATCCCCGACCCCGTCGTACCAAAAGACGTTAAAAGATAAATACTTTTGTTATCCTGCCTGACGCTCGGCATTAAGGGCGAAACAGGGACTGGTCGGAGTCTGAACATGGTATTCATGTTAAAACTACGGCATGTTGTGTCAGTGGCTAGCACTATAAAACCAGCATGAAATTTCACACGAAGTGATGGTCAATTCTTATTAATGTTATATACACGGATCTAATTTTTTAGTGTGATATTTTTTATAAAATTGCAGATTCACGAGATACTGAGATCCTATGATCGTATTTATTCATAATACATGCATGTCCGATAAAACATCCTGTTTTGTTTAGTCACAATAAGATTTTAACGTTATCATCCTTGATAAGCTGTTTTGTTAAATACTCCCTCACAAGGCTAAGAAATCTAAGCCATTGACAATTTTGGTGAAACTCGGTACGGTGCTGACAAACAAATTATCGGGGCATTTTAAGTTGAAATTGAGGGCATGTCGAATAGGTGTTGAAATCAATCCATAGAGTTCACTCTAGAGTTCATGGTTTTTCGTTTGCGTTCATTCGTTTCGTTCACTAGAGGATGGCAATCCACCATGGATATGAAGTCACAAACATACCATGACTACAATTTGAAGTTTTCACGTGCACATGAACACTGATTCTGTATACGTATTTATTCACGTGAAGCATTTACTGTGAGTTTCCAAAGGACTGTCTAAAATTCCTTACGCGTCAGATTATTTCTAGAATTCAGCCTTGTGAAAATCGTGTTTAAATGCTGCTTTCACCGTAAGGTGGTCATGACGGGTCTCGTGTCCAATATAAATAGCCGAATATCGAGTCAATATCTCATGAAAAATAATGTCATTTTGTACTCCCATCGTTCTTGCTTTTTCGTTTATTACTGAAAACCCTTACACAGAAGCATAACATTCAGTGACATTTCTTCCGTGTGCAAGAGATGTGAGTGACAAAGTACGTTTTATATAGGTACAGATTACACAAAACTGGAAGTACCATAGAAGTATAAAAAACATGGTGTTTGCGGAACGTACCCGTATGCGTTCTGCGAAAGGAAAGTACGTATCTGCCTCATTTAATGTCTGAATGTTTCTGTCTCAAAACATTGGAATGATATTGTAAGCACGCAGCTGATATGTTGCTGATTATTTTCATTCAACCTTTGTGTAAAGTCTCCACGTATCTCTTTCAATGTTAGATGGAATTCTGTACTGGTGTGACGCCAAGACACACAAGGTAGAGTCCGTCACTGTGGAGGGAACACAGAGAAGGGAGATACTGAATGAACCTGGGGCTCACTACTTCGGCATCTCTTTCCATGATGGGACACTCTACTTCACGGACTGGAAGAGATTGTAGGGAAAGATCGGTTGTATCTTGATATTTCAGTCACATTTGAATAGGTTAACTGTCGTCAGTTAAACGTTAAGGTTATGAGAAACCATGAGACTTTCTTGGAAGATCACTTGTTGTTTTTTAAACAATAAATATGTGCATCGATATCTAATAGAACTATTTTTTTAAGTACAAAAAAGAGTTAGATCAACTGTATCATTTATCCTGGTGATTTCGCACAGAGCAATACTCCACATACCCGCTGCAGGAGGTACTCTTGGCGTCATAGCAACGACTTTCTTGACACAGCTTGCTGGAATCCATGTCTTTTCTAACAGAAATTCCTCAGGTGATATTGACTTTCTTCAACTGAATGTTTGTTGATGCGATTAAATTGAATTGTAAATTCAAAGCAAGCTTATGAAAACACAAATGTCCAATTACATGACCTTATTCATAATTGCTTCATTATGAAGAGAGGGGCGGTCGGGGAGCCTAGTGGTTAAAGCGTTCGCTCGTCACGCCGAAGACCCGGGTTCGATTCCCGACATGGGTACAATGTGTGAAGCCCATTTCTGGTGTCCCCCGTCGTGATATTGCTGGAATATTGCTAAAAGCGGCGTAAAACCCCACTTACTCACTCACTCACTCACTCACTCACTCATCATGCAGCGATGTTGCAAAGTGAAAGAATGGAAACTATTATGCATGGCTGGTTGGAGAGTGAATCAATTGATACAGCTATGCTAATGTTTAATCTACAATTAGATTTTGCAAAATGGCATAATAATAAAGTGTTCAAACTATGAATTACGAATATGGATCACTGCAACCCGAGCTTTAAATTTATGATATTTTAGGTTTATACCAAGTGAATATATTTCTTGAAGCAGCAGTAAATATCCCATGCTCTTTAGTTGATATAGGATGAGCAGGTAAAATGTTGATTTGATTTGCCGGAAAGAGAACAGTATGATAGGTGTCCTAAACTGGTCAAGTATTGGCGTAATAGAGTTAAGATCACTGCTAACCCACAAGCGCCAATGGTGTATGTGAGCTCTTTCGTCATGACCGGTACCATCTCTTCGCCCGTCGTCCCTAATCGTTCGACTTCACTTCTGGGACGAAGGTTTCAGCCTGAAACTTTACATGATATGTTTGCTTATAATATAATGTGTTAAACGTGTATTGATTGCGTGAACACAGTGATGCCATTTTTACGCATCAGTGACAATCATGACCGATGCAATTCCTTAGTTTGACTGGTGCCATAGATCGAGCAGGATCCACCTTGTACCATCACTATTTGATTGTGATTCATACACACTTGATTATCGTACAATGGACCTTTAGCAGAGGTTATTTATGATTGTAGTTTTGTTGCTTTATTTGGTTGCTCATTACAGTAGACATAAGGTCAAGAGAGTGAAAGCTTTATGAAGATGTGTTGGACAATAGTATGACTATGTGTTTTTTTCATAACATAGCGCCACGATTCGCTGTGCAGAATTGCGTCCCCTGGGCACGCCAGAAACCTATGATTGTGGGTTCGAATCCCGGTTCGCCCCGATTATGTTTCTAGGTTTGTCAGCACCATACTCGTGCTCGTGGGTTTCACCGAAGTGGTAAACGTCTGAGACCTTCATCACTTCGGACATTCCTCCCACATGGAATACTGTCAAAAGCGGTGTTAAACCCAACTCACTCACTTACTCATAACATAGAATGAGCAGTTCGTAAAGCTGATTTCTATTTTAGGGTGTCTTTCGGGCCAATACGGAAAGGACTGTAGACAGTGTGGTAACTGCAACGAAGGAACCGTCTGTGAGAAGACCACAGGCTTCTGTATCGGTGGATGTAAGCCTGGTTACCAGGGGACAGAGTGCAGACAAGGTATGTTTTTTAACAAATATATAACTCTATTAAAGTAAGGGATTCTCGGGAATAAAATGGTAAGAGACATTAGTTTCTAGTAATAGTTAAATGATTATAATTAACGAATTGGGAACACATTACAACCGGTAGGAAGGTATCACAGTAGACTTTTTGTCCGTCAGCAATCGTGAAGGATGATATCGGTAAGATTGGAAAATTCAAAGATGCCGTTTGTGGATCAGCAGTATGCAATACCGACACGATTTGTCATCTTTCCCGCGATGCGTCATACTGCGGCGATTTTGGGATGGTGATGGGGGTTCTGTCCCATTCCTCTTCCAAAGCCTGGCCAAGTTCAGCCAATGTGGTCGGCGGCCTATGATGTTGACGCACACATCTCCCTGTCTTGTCCCAGACGTGTTCAATGCTATGGTGTAAAGGTCCAGGCTCATTGCTGGCCATGTCATTCTATTGATGTTGCGCTGTTGCGATTGTACTGTCGATTGACCTCTCCTTGCACAATATGGAGTGGGATCCGCTCAGTCATAGTGATACAATCCTACACCGTAACCGAATCACCACTAAATCTGTCACCAGGTGTCAGGTTGGCATTAGCTTGACGTTCATTTCGACCACGTCTATGAAGGAAGTACAAAGTTAATTGGAATTTACCTGAAAACATGACACGTGACCAGCCACGATTACCCCAGTTTCGACGTTGTGTACACCATTGCCGACTGTTGGCAATGTGATGATTTGTAAGAGGCGGCACAATACGTGGCCGTCGAGCATGGAGTTGAGCCGCATGTGTACTATTCTTATCGTCTGACCCGTAACTCGTACTCCAATAGCCTGACAAGACTTTGCAGCAATTTGATCGCTCGATTTCGTAGAGCCTTGTTTCGGAACAATAGATCCCGTACCTTTGTCGTTGACCTGGGACGACCTGTACGTTGTCGATCGTCAACATTTAGGGGATCGTTGGTACCTCGCCAAAATCTGCTGATCACAGACTATGAAACATTGAACATATTGTCACTGCATGCTGGCTTCTGCCAGTTTTAAGTATACCAATAGCCCGGAGAGGCTCCGAGCGTTGCAATCGCCCCATAGCTAGTTCATACACAAACAATGGATGAGATCAAGTAAGTCACAACAGTATGATAAGCGGAAGCAATAAGATCGACAGAAATAATGGTCCACAGAGATGAATTGACCTTTCCTTAAAGTACCAAAATCAGGAATGACATCCCACTCACGTGTTTGGCGCTACTGCGTGAGGCACGTGCATATTATAGGATGTGTTTTGGTGTTAGTGTTTACAAACATAAACTTATCTTTCTTTTAATACTTGTTTGTAACATTTATATTTCATAATTCCTTGTGTTTTAAGAGTAATACAATTGCACATATTCTTATTTCATTTCTAAATTCTTAGAAATTGTTATGCAAATTTAATCAATTCAAATATTCTCTCACAGTTGAGTGATGCATCTCGTGCCTTCGTGTCATTGTTGCATATTCTGTACTGTACAAAGTATGTATATTCTTTATAAATAAATTGTTTATTTATTTCTCATTTGACCCAAAAGACGGCAAGCCGAGTATTATCCATTTTTCGTTTCATAATCACCCTTACATCGTTGTTAGTGTGTACGCCGGGAACCTACGGTGAAAGGTGTGTGTCGACGTGTGGCAACTGTACAGGAGAAACGTGTAACCACGTCAATGGTACCTGCCCAGAGGGGTGTATCGCAGGACAGCGTGGGCACGACTGTAAAACAGGTATGAACGTTCTTTCTGAGAGATGACTATATGATTGCGGTTTTATGTGTTAATTGATAAATAAAATCAACTATTCATGATCATAAGAGTTGCTAAACACCATTGTTACGATCGTCTGCACGGTACATACAAGAAGATTATGAACACTTTGTAAGATGAAACCCAAACATTAAGACAAAGGATTTCTCGTACCGCTTAATAGTTACATGTACGGTTGTAGCTTCGGAAATACAAAGTCATGAATATTTTAAAGAATGGTAAATAAAAGGTAATTGTATTTAACTGAGTGCATATTTATTGTCCGCCAGCCTGTCCGACCAATACCTACGGCTCTGGGTGTTCTCCCTGTGGGTTGTGCGCTGGAGGCGTCCCTTGTAACACGGTGTCAGGTGTCTGTCCAGCTGGATGTCAATCAGGTTGGACCGGGGACAGGTGTGACAGAGGTAAATAGGTATCCTTATCATGACACATTAAACAACTAATGCCCTATTTCCGTGTCAAATTATGGATATACAAGTTTATTGATGTGTAGCGAAACGTCTACGAGGTGTTATGTTTTATGCTATTTACTTCATTGATTTTTATATAGAGAGGGGGCACAGGTGGCTCCGTCGTCTTAGGCGCCGCAATTCGCCGTGCATAGTTGCGTCCCCTGGGCACGCCAGAAACCTATGATTGTGGGTTCGAATCCCTGATCACCCCGATTATCAGGTTTTTGTCTACGTTTGTCAGCACCATACTCGTGCTCGAGGGTTCCACTTGCATCACTTCGGGCATTCCCCCCACATCAGGCTGACACGCCGCGATATAACTGTATAATACTGTTAATAGCGGCGTTAAACCCAACTCACACACTCATTTATATAGAGAGATATTTTCTTTTTCCGGTCAGCGTGTCTCCCTAATACTTACGGTGTCTCCTGTGAGTCATGTGGCCAGTGTGCTGCTGCTGTTCCTTGTGACAAAAGCACTGGACTCTGTCCAGCTGGCTGTCAAGATGGTTGGACAGGCTCCCTGTGTAAAACAAGTAGGTGAACATAATTATATTCTTCAAGGTCAATGTTGTTGTTTTTTATAAGTTGATATTTTTAATCATATGCAATTATATTCATGATACACAGCCTAGACATCGGCACTAAAGCATTTCTGGAATATGAATATTTTTCATCTTGAAGGAAAGCAGCTCATTTTTATTGTTAATTAGTGGTTTAACAATAGCCTGTTAAAACATAAAGGAACATACGCAGACGGGCTTTATTATCCTTGAGAACCAATGTCTAAAACTTGTGTGAAACAACTGATACAATACACAGAATGTGTGTTATTTGTCAAGTGTATGTTGAATCATGAATGTTGGACTACACAGTTAATAACTCTACTGAGTTAGAGCCTTGCAACATGTGCTTCTTATGTTAGTTACTATGTAACTATGTACGGAAAGGGAATATCGCATGAACCCCAGTACTGTTAAATAAAGGTTTCGTGTGTAATTTATAATGAACTACCGATATCACGAAACAAACCCCATACAGTTCCGATTAACCACATGTTTACACATATTTACACATACATTCAATTTTCATTACCGTTTTTATATATTATCTATTTCGGTGCCATTACTTATGTTCTTTGCAGTGTGCAGTCAAGGCACATACGGAACAGGATGTACATCGATCTGTTCCAACTGCCGAACAGGAAGTGTCTGCAATCACGAGACTGGTCAATGTCCGGCTGGATGTGAGCCAGGATGGACTGGATCTAAGTGTGACGAGGGTAAGCCATATAATTTACTTTGATTGTAATGTATTAGTATATCAACATAGGATGTGATCTAACATTCCATCTGGTAACCACATTCACATGGCAAGGCGTCCATCTTGTTTCCTATACTTTAATCATGTACGTATCATCAAATCCTTTTAGGCTCCATATACGATTTCTTCAGCAGTTTATTATTATTGTACTTGAATGGGTTAGTGATTTTGTGACCTGGTTTAACAGTTATTTAGTTATATCATGTCAGCCTTTTGTGAGAAGAAAACCTAAAGCGATGCATGCGTTTGCCCTTTGGTGAAACCCACAATGCTGACAAGCCTTGAATCATAATCAGGGCGAATATGGGATTCGAAGCAACGGCCATAGGTCTCCTACACGCCTAAGTGGCGAAACGCTGCACAACGAACAGCGGCCTGATAAGATGACTGTGCCACCCATGCCCCCTATTTAAGGGCATAATAAAGAAAGTCTCACTTGTACCTTTTCCTTTTTTACAGTGTGTAGCCAGGGTACATTCGGCTCAGGATGCCTTTCTTTCTGTTCCAACTGCAAGACAGGAACTGTATGTAATCACGTGACTGGTCAGTGCCCGGGTGGCTGCCGATCTGGATGGAGGGGAACTAAGTGTGATGAGAGTAAGATCATCACATAATACTTTTTTGGAATTAACACTAAGAATGAGGTGACAGATATAATAACATCTTCAGATGAGCACGTGTTGGTGAATCAATTCGTTCATCCAACAACTTACTTTTCTTCCAACACTTCAAATATATCAAAATCGGTCCCAATTACCAACAGGGAAATAATCATACACAATCGAAATTGTCTTGACACTAGGCTAAAGCAACCAATCAGCATCGCGTCTCCCATGATTAGACTCCCAAGTCACAGACTATTTTCAACATTGTCCATCAAGTTGTTCACCGATTTGTAAGGGCTGTGGGGTAGGCTAGTGGTTAAAGCGTTCACTCGTTACGCCGAAGACCCGGGTCGATTCCCCACATGGCTACAATTCGAAAACTCATTTCTGGTGCCCCCACCTTGATATTGCTGTAATGTTGCTAAAAGCGGCATTAAACCTTACTTAATATTCACTTTCTCACTGAATTGTATTTTCAGAGTGCTATCCGGGTACACATGGACCTATGTGTTCATCGCTCTGCTCTAACTGCTATACTGGTACCGTCAGTGTGTGCCATCACGTGACTGGCCAATGCCCAGATGGATGCCAACCTGGATGGACCGGAGCCAGATGTGATGCTGGTATGTTATTCCTCTCGCTTCTATTGGCTTGAAGATTACTTTTATTTGTCATGTCAGAATCAGTTGATTTTGGATTTCAATCTCATTTTGGCTCTAATTATAATCCTTAAATTGGTTCGTCAACGTCACATCCGTGTTCGTGGGTTTCACCAAAGTGGAAAACGTGCACAGGTTAGCATTTCGTTATATTTTGGCTGGACCAAATCGAAATTCGGTTTGTAAACAACATAACGACAGCCATGCAGATTTCGGTCGATGGCAGGATTTGAAAAGCATGTGCACCGTCAAATCTTTTCATGCTTTTGATAAAGTGATTTGATGCACCTCGAGAGGTTAGACCTGTTTTATTACAATATAGATCTTAACTACCGATCACACCGTCTTAACTGGGCGCAGCTATTTTGTTTGATTCAAATGAAAGTGACATGTTAGGTGGAATTTTGTTGATCAATGAGGGACAAAGAAGGGATAAAACTCGTAATAGCCAATGATGGCGCTATGATCGAGCCACCTAATTCCAGCCTAGTGTGGCAGGGTGGAAACTGGACTTTTACGGTAAGTTAACTCCCTTGCCTCGGGAAGATGCCTTTTCAGCTTGCGTACCTGTATTCCCTCACATAGGTTTACTTTCTGATCGGCAGACTAACATGAGCACTTACCTACTGATGTGAATCTTACGAAACAAAGTGCTATATTACAAGTTGAACATGTCAGCTTATACAGCATAATGAGTGAGTAAGGTTTAACGCCGCTTTAAACAGTATTCCAGTTACATCACGGCGTACCAGCATAACGTGGAAAGAAAAAGCCGAAGTGATGCGGGACGCAGACGTTTAGCACTTTCGTGAAACCCAAGGGCACGGGTATGGTGCTGACAAACCTAGAAACATAATCGGGGCGAACCGGGATTCGAATTCGCAATCAGATTTCGAACGTGTCCAAGGGACGCAACTCTGCACAGCGAAAAGACGACTGGGCCACCCCCACCCCCACACCCACACCCACACCCCCCACACACACACCCCTGCAGCATAATAAACATGAACAGATCAACTGAAGTCACCTGAAATAACCTTTTAAGCGGAATCAATTTGAAAGAACGTTCACTGGTTGGTACCAAATGCCCAATACACTTCACCCAAGGGTGTTGAATGCCCAATATAAATACTATACAAATACAAATACCCAATGTTCATGATAACGTGAGTAAATATATCAATGGCAACAAAGATCCTGATTGAAACCAAACAATTCCACTACAATGGTTTACAATTCCACGGACGAATGACCTCCTTGGCATTCTTCTCTCTCGCTGAATAGCTGTATTTCATTGGTTGTACATTGTGTCTGACGACAAAATGTAAATTTTTCTAGACGGCTCCTAAATTAACATAACTAATTGCAAATGTGTACATAAGACAAGAATATTTGCATATCTAATTAATACCAAGTGCGCACAACATGTTTTGGACATTCCCGCGCAAATATTGTTCTGAAAATATGTATTTCCTTTTGCAGCGTGCAGCAGCGGCACATTCGGGACAACGTGTTCATCCGTCTGCCACAACTGCAGGACGGGAAGCGTCTGCAATCACGTGACGGGTCAATGCCCTGATGGGTGCAAACCGGGCTGGGTTGGAGTGAAGTGTGATGAGGGTAAGATTACTTTAATGATGGTAGTAGCAAACTGCTGTAGAACTGTACCGTTGTAATATGTGCTGAACTTGTAGCTGAGACAATGAAAGATGATCAATGTACGAGTACATACATGCGACACCTATGTTGCTGATTATATTTCTCAATGCAATATGTTTACCCTTTTCGCGAACACCTGGTGTCATAATTGATTTCAGTGATTCATTCATGTAATTTTCACAGATATTTTGTTCTCTACTACCGATTATGATAATCGAGAAATATTCTCTGGACGTGACGTTCTAGAAAGATAACATTCCATATAATGCAATATACATTATATTTCAGATGAAAATGGTTCGTAAACTTTTTAAAACAGCTTATACTTACCCCCTTCTCAGCCCTAGCATCCTAGAGTCATCCCCTCCTCAGCCCACGCAGCCTATACTCATTCCCCTTTTCGCCCTAGTAGCCAAAACTCATGAAGCCCTGAAAAATTAGATTTGAGGGTTCCCTAATAACAGTCTTTGTATATAATTTACACATAACTATACTGCATCTATGAATTGAAGAAAATGTTATTTATGTATGTATGTATGTATGTATGTATGTATGTATGTATGTATGTATGTATGTATGTATGTATGTATGTATGTATGTATGTATTTATTTATTTATTTATTTATTTATTTATTTATTTATGATATTGGTATTTTATTAACTAATACACCCTAGAGTAATTCTTCTTCATCTTCTCAACACTCAATGGTATTTTTACTTTGTTTTTAGCATGGTCTGGGTTTGTATTTTTGTTTTGTTTTCCTTTTTTTTATCTCAATATGTGCAACCTAATATGAATCTATTTCTCATAATTACATTTTACCTCACAGTTTACATTTTTGGGTCAGGTGTTTTATACCTCAGTGCCCTTATCTATTATCAAATTAATCTTACATGACTCCGACATCGGCATGTTCAGACGAGGACGATAAATCTCTAGTGTAGTAGTATTTCGGGGAGTACATGTTTGACTAACTTTGGATGCGTAATCCAATTGGTTTGTAAGCTTTGGGACATTAAACGAACATGGATCTTATATGTGCGCTTTACTGTATACTATCACGATTGTTTGTTATAATGTAACATTCCATATTATGCAATATATATTATATTTCAGATGAAATGGGGGGAAAATCCAGTGACACCAACCTTGGTTCGTAACTTTTGTAAATTATTCATTGATCATATGGTTCTTCCTGTAAATCCATGCATAATGAACAAGCATCGTACTGTACAGACACGTGAAACATGCATATTATTGCTGGTGTTTCCGTGGACATGTGTCTACCTCACGACCTAATATACTTATCAAACAATTTGGAATGCGTATGATACCTAATTATATACTATTTTTCAAACCTTAAGACCATTTGCAGGCTGTTAAGACTTCTTAACAAAATAAACACAACGCCAGCACACTAACTTCATTCCTCGAAATGACCTCACAAAAACATGTTCACTGTTATCCACTAAATTTCGGAGAGGTATGGAAATCCATAACTGTGTAAAAGACATCTGCGATGTTTGTCCTCCATGTAAGATAACATAATGTGCCTTATTTATTCCATGCTTCACTTCAGCTGTAATTGGAGGTTCCGTGGGTGGAGCTGCCCTGCTGTTGGTAATTGTCATCGTCGTCGTTGTTATCGCAATTGTGCTTGTCAGGTGATTACCATACTTTCCTCTCGCTGATAAATAAGTGCTTAACACCAACCAGGGTTATTATGATGATGAAAAACACAAGTCCAACCTTCCCATTCTTCAATGAATTAGACCTAACAAGTTCTAAGTTGAACCGAATATCGTTATATTTCGTCTTTTTAATTATAAAGTTGAAAATGTTTTTTTCTTTTCTCTTTTCTCGTGTGGTAATTCATGAAACCCTTGGACTACATGTATATTAAAAGTGATTTGTTTATGACACAATAAGAGGACCGAAACATATAATGCAAAAATACTTATTATCATGATTTATTCAGAAAACAACACAGTTAACCTTTCAACCTGTACATATAAAAAATACACTTTTGACTATACTGTACATTTCGAGGTACATGTATAAAATATTATTCATCAGACTTGTTTTTGACACACCTAACACACGTTAACGGAACACTTCTGACATTAAAATCGAACTCGTCCGAACTCGTTTTATACAGATATCATCATGACTATTCCGGTAATTGTTCTACGCCATGCATAACATTTTGCTGAATACCATTCATTTATAATTATTTTTAGACGGAAAAGACGTCCCCGAGTTAAGGATACAGGACCGTACGAAACATTGCAAATGGTCAACCAGCCCATCTATTCTGTGGCAACAGATCTGGCTCCACAATATGCCACCGTCGCAGACGTTCACACACTTGACTACAGTAGACTTGGACGACTGGGCAACGCCCCCCGTCAAGATGAGGATGAGGACCACGTGTATTCCCGACCGTTGTCATTTATTGTTAACGGCGAAAGCACGCAGTGATCGCGTCACATATTATCCCACAAGATTATACACGATATACGTTTGATAGGTCTTTGTATTAGCTGCACTTCAACAATAATAACACTTCTTTCTCCAGGTTAAAGATACAGCCAAAAATATTGTTCATGTGCATAGTTTTGTCATAGCCAAACCGATAAACGCATGGAATAAATAATTTAATGCTATACCAATAATGACATTGAATAATTAAGATTGGAAAATCAAATTTTAATCTTGCTGATGTTTGGACCCATAGAGATGACAATCATTGCAACATATTTCGTCAATCTCTGATGGGTTCCCCTTAAATAACAGTTTCTTCACACAACCTAAATTAAAACACATTCGAATAATACATGTATGGTAAGGACGATATGAAACGTAAAATTATTAATTAAAATCATCCAGGTGCAAAAGAAAAGTAATTAACAATTGTTATTTTACTTCCGGTGTTTTATTCTATTTCCAGTGTTATGTAAAAATTGCCTTGTCATAATTAATCTCCTTTACATGCCCATGAGCATATACGTGATAAAACAATTACTCTCAGTCTATTATCATTCCCTTTTCAGCCCTTGCCGCCTATACTCATCCCCTTCTCATGGCTAGAAGCCTATACTTATCCCCTTCCCATCGCAAGCAGCCTATCATCATCGCCTTCCCATTGCTACCAGCCAATACTCATCCCCTTCTCATGGCTAGCAGCCTATAGTCATCCCCTTCTCATGGCTAGCAGCTTATACATGACCCCTTCCCATCGCAGGCAGCCTATCATCATCGCCTTCCCATCGCTAGCAGTCAATACTCATCCCCTTCTAAGCTCTAGCAGCCAATACTCATCCCCTTTGCCTATTATCTTCTTCTTCGCCTAGTAGCCTAGAATCATCCCCTTCTCAGCCCTTGAAGCCTTTAGTCATCCTCACTTTAACAAAACACAGCCTATACTCATCCCCTTCCCAGCCCTAGCATCCTATGGTCATCCTCTCCTCTGCCGAGGGAGCTCAAACACACCTCCATTCTTCGCCCTAGTAGCCTGTAGTCATGTCCTACTCAGCCCTAGAAGCCTACAGTCATCCCGTCTCAGCCCTAGCAGTCTATGCTCATCCCCTTCTCAGCCCTAGCAGTCTATACTCATCGTCGTCTCAGCCCTAGCAGTCTATACTCATCCCCTTCTCAACCTTAGCAGTCTAAACTCATCCCCTTCTCAGCCTTAGCAGTCTATACTCATCCCCTTCTCAACCCTAGCAGTCTATACGCATCCCCTTCTCAACCCTAGCAGTCTATACTCATCCCCTTCTCAGCCCTAGCAGCCTATTATCATCCCCTTCTAAGCCCAGCATCCTATGGTCATCCCCTTCTCAACCCTAGCATCCTATGGTTATCCTCTCCTCTGCCAAAGGAGCCTTCACACATCCCCATTCTTCGCCCTAGCAGCCTGTAGTCATGTCCTACTCAGTTCTAGAAGCCTACAGTCATCTCGTCTCAGCCCTGGCAGTCTATACTCATCCCCGTCTTAGCCCTGGCAGGCTATACTCATCCCCGTCTCAGCCCTGGCAGTCTATACTCATCCCCTTCTCAGCTCTAGCAGCATTTACTCATTCCCTTCTCAGCCCTAGCAGCCTAAACTCATCCCCTTCTTAGCTCTAGCATCCTATACTCATCCCCGTCTCAGCCCTGGCAGCCTATACTCATCCCCTTCTCAGCTCTAGCAGTCTATACTCATCCCCGTCTCAGCCCTGGCAGTCTAAACTCATCCCCATCTCAACCCTGGCAGTCTATACTCATCCCCGTCTCAGCCCTAGCATCCTATACTCATCCCCTTCTCAGCCCTAGCAGCCTTTACTCATCCCCGTCTCAGCCCTAGCAGTCTATACTCATCCCCTTCTCAGCCCTGGCAGTCTATACTCATCCCCTTCTCAGCCCTAGCATCCTATACTCATCCCCGTCTCAGCCCTAGCATCCTATACTCATCCCCGTCTCAGCCCTGGCAGTCTTTACTCATTCCCATCTCAGCCCTGGCAGTCTATACTCATCCCAATCTAAGCCCTGGCAGTCTTTACTCATTCCCATCTCAGCCCTGGCAGTCTATACTCATCCCAATCTAAGCCCTAGCAGCCTTTACTCATCCCCATCTCAGCCCTAGCATTCTATACTCATCCCCTTCTCAGCCCTGGCAGTCTATACTCATCCCCATCTCAGCCCTAGCATCCTATACTCATCCCCGTCTCAGCCCTGGCAGTCTATACTCATCCCCATCTCAGCCCTGGTAGTCTATACTCATCCCCTTCTCAGCCCTGGCAGCCTATACTCATCCCCATCTCAGCCCTAGCATCCTATACTCATCCCCGTCTCAGCCCTGGCAGTCTATACTCATCCCCATCTCAGCCCTGGCAGCCTTTACTCATCCCCATTTAGCCCTGGCAGTCTATACTCATCGCCTTCTCAGCCCTGGCAGTCTATACTCTTCCCCTTCTCAGCCCTAGCATCCTATACTCATCCCCTTCTCAGCCCCAGCAGCCTATACTCATCCCCTTCTTAGCTCTAGCAGCCTATACTCATCCCCGTCTCAGCCCTGGCAGTCTATACTCATCCCCTTCTCAGCCCTGGCAGTCTATACTCATCCCCGTCTCAGCCCTGGCAGTCTATACTTATCCCCATCTCAGCCCTGGCAGTCTATACTCATCCCCGTCTCAGCCCTAGCATCCTATACTCATCCCCATCTCAGCCCTAGCAGTCTATACTCATCCCCCATCTCAGCCCTATCATCCTATACTCATCCCCTTCTCAGCCCTAGCATCTTATGGCCATCCCCTTCTCAGCCCACGGAGCCTATATGCATCCCCATCTTCGCCCTAGTAGCCTATAGTCATACCCTTCTCATCCTCGAAGCCGATAGTCATCCCATTTACGCCTATATGCATCCCCTTCTCAGCCCTAGCATCCAAGAGTCATCCTCTCCTCAGCCCACTTAGCCTATACACATCCCCCTTTTTCGCCTAAGTAGCCTATACCCATCCCCTCTAAGCCCTAGCAGCTATACTCATCACCCCATTCTCATCCCTTGTACCCTACCTTAATACCCTTCTCAGCTTCAGCTCTGAAAAATGAGACTTGAGGGTTCCCTAATAACAATCTTTGTATCTAATCTTACACATAACTATACTGCAGCTATGAATTGCAATAGTATTTTCTCTTTATTTATAAGTATATGATATTGATATTAGATTAGCTGTTACACCCTGGAGTAATTCTTCTCCATCTTCACTACACTCAATAGTAGTTTTACTTTGTTTTTTAACATAGTCTTGGTTTGTATTTTTGTTTTGTTTTCCTTTTTTAATCTCAATATATGCAACCTAATATATATCTATTTCTCATCAATACATTTTTCCCTCCTCGGTTTACATTTTTTGGTCAGGTATTTTATACCTTAGTGCCCTTATCTATTATCAAATTAACCTCACATGACTCCGACATTGGCATGTTCAGACGAGGACGATAGATCTCTAATGTAGTAGTAGTATTTCAGGGAGTACATGTAACTAATGTTATATTTGGGATAAAACTTTCTTAGTAAAGTACAGATTCTCGTTCTTTTTTGGGTTGAGTCCCGTCCGGGATTCGAACCCACACTTGCCAGAGTGAGGCACCTAATCGCCAGCACACAAAGTTTACATTATGTATTCATAGGGAGTACATGTTTGTCTAACTTTGGTTGCGTAATCCAATTTTTTTGTAAGCTTTGGGTCTTTAAATGAACATGGATCTTATATGTGCGCTTTACTGTATACTGTCACGATTGTTTGTTATAATGTAACGGTTAGTACTATACATAGATACATATACTGAAACGCATTGAAAACGCGCCAACAGAAATGTGGGCGTTGTTCTTATGATATTGGAATAGTGTGAGTAATGTCAGGGCATTATCAACAAAAAACCTTAAGGTGAATGAGCATCGCTTAAGCTCCAAAAAGCATCAAAATGATCGCAACAGCACATATGTAAACCAAAACGTGACATGTGATGCAACGAGAAAATGGAATTTCACGTGAAAGTCATGCAGATGTTTGGTATAAAATCGAAGCCAACATTAATTCACATCGCATGCTGCAAGAACGCAGGAAAAGGTTATGCCAAGATTGACCCCTGAGCAACGCGAACGCGCCTTTGGCATGCTACATGTTGGCATGACGTCCCGAGTTTCGCACAACGGGTTGGGTGACATCATTCAACAATTAAACTTTATCTGAGATCCAGCAGACCAGAACCACAAGAGATCGCCCTCGTTCTGGTCAAAGACGTGTTACAACGCCACGAACAGATCGCCATACTGTTTGCTAAAATTTCCGAGATCGGACACTTCCATCTGCCTGGACGGCTACCACTACACCAGGTCGACGTGGAAACACAGCACAGACACTCTACATCGCCGACAGCCAACCGCCGGTCTACTTTGCCAGATGAACTTACGTTGGCCACGTCCTGAAGCAACGACATCGAGACGATCGCCGGCGCTGGGCTGAGGAACATCGTCACTGGAGATCACAACGTTGTCATGGTGTCCTGTTCTCTGATGAATCACGTTTTCACCTGAGAAACGCTGATGGCCGTTTGCGTGTATAGCGTCGCAGTGGCGAACGGTATCATGATGACTGCGTTGTACAGACGGACCGCTGTGGCGGTGAGGGCTGAGATCAGTTATCACCACAGACATTGCTCCATATCCATGTCGTGTAGGGTCAACGTCGTGTACTACAGCGATAACATTCTTAGAAACCACGTCGTCTCTCTCTTTCGTCAACATCAAGATCTGCACATGTTCCTGCAGGATAACGCGCGGGCACATACAGCATGGGTCTCAAAACAATTCATGTTGCAAAACAACGTCCCAATTCTTCCCTGACCTGCACTATCACCTTTGTAGGATTACCTTGGACAACGTCTTTCACGTCTTCAACATGTGAATACCGTCAGGGAACTTAAACTCACCCTGTAGCTTGAATGGAACAGGTTACCACCAGACGTTATTCACATATGTATTATGTCCACGAGGAGACGCTGTACGGCTTGAGTTGTTTCACAAGTGGCCACACACGTCATTGACTTTAGGTTTTGACCCCTCCTGTCGATCATAGACTTTTATCTTAAGCTGGGTCATTGCATTTGCTTTTTCGGTTGTGCATGGCCTACATTCATCGTTCAACAACACTTCTCAAAGTATATTTCATCACCGTGACATCAAGTGTGGTCGCAGCTTTATATTCCCCTTGCACGTTTTCAATTCGTTTCAGAATATGTTTTAAAAAATAATTGATGGCTTTGGTACGATTTGAATGTACATGTATGTTATTTTTTCTCGAATACGTAGCTTACTTACGTTGTTACTTGTACGTAAACGGAATCGTTCGTTGGATACAGTTGGATGGTTGGATATTTACCGCATCTTTGGTGGCAACGTAGATTGTTAACATGAATAATGTTTGCATCAGTGATCGTAAAGTATTACGATGAGTGCTTATGGCTCTGTCAACATAGACGTGTGTATCTGGTCACGGGCTCCGATCCCAGATTGGCACTGATTATATTACTTCATCTGTCAATACCATACCAGGTAATGTTTACGACCTGCGACACTTTCCCTTCCAACTGAAGCTGTTCACACTCTTATATATCCGGAAGACTTATGGGCGTATAGAATTTACTTTATATAATAACATAGGCACGGGCTTCCTAATTTCCTAATACATTTCTTTCTCTGTGCACATACATGTATGAACGAATGTCTATGAAACGTAATAGTTGTTTGTATTTGTGTAAGGATAGGCTTCTCAATTTGCTATTTTCTGTGGTAGTTGATTTGTGCCTCCTCAAGGAGACGTTGTTTCTATATTTGCAGGACATTTTGAACCCGTTGAACTGCATTAGTGTTTCCTTAATGTTTTGTCTACATTTAGTATTATGTTGCTTTTTGGTTTGATTTTATATATGTTGCCTACAGATAGTTGCCTATTCGTTCTCTAACACGTTTCTGTACACGTTGTACTTTAATAATTATGCCGTTATTTTTTTATTTTATTAAATAAATTGAAACCTTTGAAATGTATCTGTTAACATTTGCAAGGTAACAGGATCCAAACGAAGTCCAGATCTACATTGCTGTAACGCATCAAAACCATTATCAGATGGGAGATGAGCATTATTTTGGCGTGTGATTCATTATTTCACATTCCCACGTTACCTATGTGACCTGTAGGTTTGTCCTGTGCAATGTAACAAATGACAAATGCAGTTCTAAATATACCAGCGGGTAAAAGAGCTTTGCTTCACTTACTATCAGGGGAAATAATGTATGCAAACAGAGAAGGATTTTGCAACAGAACAATATATTGTTGTCCATGAAACAGTGTCGACATGAATTCTTTGTAAACGTCATCTCAGGCTGAAGGTGGCGTAGGGTCAATTGTCAGTTCACACATAAGTATCGGTATGACCACCCTGGGCTTGAAAAAAACGGCACCTCAATGACGACACAAAATGGTTGAGGAAGGCTTGTAAGATGTCTTTCCAGGTGTGAACCAAGGCCTGGACCAACGTCACCATTTGGTTTGGAAGTCGGCATGAACGACGTTTCACTTCTTCCTACGCACGTTCGAAGGACAACAGGTCTGGTGAAACAGAAGACCAAGGGAGTGTGGGGAGGCTCGGCTGTCCAATGGAATATGTGACCACATTTCCAACGTGAGGGCGTGCTGCCGTAAAGTAATATGACGTTGATTGGTCTCACGAAACGGGAGGACTTGAGGACGGATCACTTCATCACGGTACCGTACACATGTTATGGTCAGCTTGCCATCGATGACTACGATGACTACAAACACGTTAAACAACACACTGTCAGACACGCAGCGTTCCATCTGACATCGATAATCACGCGGACGGACATCACTGCTGTCAAGATGAATCCTGGACTCGTCTGTGAAGATGACTTACCTCCAGTCCTGTAACCTGAACCTCAGATATTGTCTTGACCATGACATGACGTGGCAGCAAATTTGGTCGTACAGCTGTTCTGATGTTCACAATGTTCGTACCAATGTAAGTCAGTGATGCTGGGAAAGATGCAGTCTCAAATCGATTTCTCAGGTGAAGCAAACGGACATGATTTTCTTGCTGACTTGACCTTACTCGTGGACGTCCAAAACGTGGTCTGTCCCTGGCGTTCCCTGTATGTTGTAACCGACCCCAGAGTGACTGTATTGTGTTACAATGAACACCAAACCGCTCATTTCCAGATAGGCGTGGCATATCGTTTACGAGGTTTGACCGTTAACAAGTTGTTTTTTACTGTTCATTCTTTGTGTCTCAATTCAACCAATTTTATCGTGAAAGAATTACACGGTTTAACATTTATCAAGGCGGCCGTGCCCGTGTGCTCGACCCCCACACCCCATAATTGTAGGCAGGGGCAAAACTTCTGAATGGACAATAGCTCAATTCACGATACTGTGTTTGAATTAACTCGCCCCCATTTGTACTGCGTGTGACGAATTACTTACTCATGGAATTTTATGCATGAAAAGACGGATGCATTTATAGGTCTTCATGGGTAATTCTACCATGAATGTGGAAATTACTCGATTCTGATTGGTCAAACAGAAGTTGCCAATTCGCAATAATAAAACCTGATTGAAACAACCGATTTTACGGCCGGATCGCCGCGAAAGCTAATATTCATAGAACTTTCATAGTACTTTTTTTCAGTCATTGTTGGTCGGCATATTTAAACAATTATATCTACAATTATAGTTTACAAAATGCGAAATGCTGGTATTTATATTCAAAAGATGTTTGGAAATACAATTCGTGCATAAAACATGATATAAATCAGCAAAGAGAATGTATTTAATGTTTTGGGAAAAACAGGGAGCTTTGAATTCGACACTTTCCTACATACGACTCTTTTGCATCACAATGAGTCCATGGCAATCTTTTAGGGGTTATGGGTTTGGGTTTTTTTAGGGGGTGGGGGATTGGGGGGGTCCGCCAGTACATATACTCAAAAGCTACGATCATACTCTCATAATGACTGGGACAGTCTCCAGTGCTGTGGTGTATCCTGGAGAGCGGAAGATCGGTTGTGCCATCCCCTGTCTACGTCAGAACTAAAAATGGATGGTACTTGCTATCCTGCCTGTGCGTCGACATAAAGGGGATAAAACAATTAAAGACTGGCCGGCTCGAGGGCAGTATAATGTGCGCAAAAGACTTTAGTGTGAAACCAACATACAATCAACAAATGTATTACATGCTTTCTAGGTTGACAAATCAATACAAATTACTGCACAGCAGTAGTGCAATATTCAGTGGCAATATATAATATGTTGGCAGTGGTCAGGATCAAATACCAAAACAGTGGTGACAGCAAAAGTCAGTGATAATAATATATTCGCCCAGCAACGACAGTGGTCAATTCCCCGAGATGGGCCTAGATTGGATTCCAGAGATAAGTGATCTTCACACGAAAGCTGATTTTTGATGTAAGAAATGCGAGGGATGACAGGCACGTGCCCGCACCACTTATGTACTACAACAACCTTCCAGAAATTTCCACACAGTGCCAGACCAGGCCCAGTGTCACAAGACCATCACATGATATTCCACATGTTTCTATATCGCTTGACATCCATTCATGCTATTCCGGAAGTTTACACAACACACATCTAAATATAGCAACTTCCTCACCACTGCTTGCGCTAAATAGTACAACACTTCTGACAATTAATCTTTTTTTCAAAATACACTGCAATGAGAAACAATGTAACACAGCTACAATCATTGCTTAACAAAAACAATACACTGCCATATAATATACTAAACTCAATTTCACCTGATTGTGAGCATCAAGGTGCTTTATCATGGAAAAGGCAATGATTACGTCAAATTACGCTCATTACGCCAACATTTTGGCACTTATAAAGAGAAGGGCATTTAGTATGTTCATAGTCCTTATACAGTGCAGACAAATTCTG